TTTGTGTTTGTGCATTTATATTTCTGTGTGTGTGTGCGAGTTCTTCCTCTGTGTGTACGTGCGTGCATGTTTCTGTGCACACAAGTGTTTCTTTGTGTGTGCGCATGCGTTTGTGTTTATGTCTATTTGTGTGTGAGGGGCTCAATGTATTTTTGTGTGTGTGTGTGTGTGTGTGGGTGCATGCAAGTGTTTTTGTGTGTTTTTGTGTGCACACAAGTGTTTATTTGTGTGCGCGCGCATCTGTGTGTGTTTATTTCTATTTGTGTGCATGTGTGTGTGTGTATATGTGCGAGTGTGTATATGCGTTTCTGTGTGTTTGTTTGTTTGTTTGTCAGTGTGTATGTGCACACTTCTGTGTGTTTGTGTGCACATGTGTTTCTGTGTATGTGTGTCCCTGTGTGTGGTTCTGTCTGTGTGTGTGTGTGTGTGGAGGACAAGTTGTAACAGGAGCTGTCATAGAGCCAAACAGGTGACCACGCATTCACTCTGCAGCTCCGCCCACATTCCTGTCCTCAAAGCAAAGTCTGATAAACTCTGATGGCCAGCAGCTGATGATCTCCACACCACCCCACAGCTCAGCACAGAGAATAAAACACGATCATTTCCAGCACGCTTTGTCCAAGAAAGGCTTCGCTTCAGCTTTACAAGCAAACGTGCTGGCATGCTGCAGTCCCCAATGACGCAAATGTCTAACTTTAGATTCCTGGAAAAAACTTTCTTCCCCCATTTTCTCAACTCCCAACCCACAAGGACTTCAGCAGGACTACAGCACACACCCTCTGAAATGTCATTTAAAGTAGCAGTTTTTGCAGAAAAACAAGTCTGCTCAGGCACATTTAGACTCAAACATGCATTAATGGTCAGTTCAGATCTTCACACGTTCCTACAATCCTATAAACGGCAGGGATTCACCTACTTGAATTCTGAATTAATTTAAAGCTGCTGCTGTATGTTAGTTTTTGACCCTTCTAAAGCCTAAAAACACCATAATAAGATTGCAGATATTTCAGAAACATGCTCAGTGATTATTCTTTTGTGTCCGAAAAACCCTGCTGAAGTCAGATATTCTGCTTTGAACATGTGAGTGCCGTGTTTTGGTCATTCAACACGCCCAATGCCAGTTAAGCCAGTTATATTTCAGCACCCCAGGTTGCCTTGGTGGAAAACAGTGCATTTCATGCTAGGACTGGGCGGTATATCGAATTCTGGGGATATATCGATATGATACCTTTAAAATTGAGGTAAAGTTGGTGTTATACTCGCATTTTAATAAACTAGTAAGGCTAATACAGATTAATAATAATCGCTATACTGTTATTATTCTGCATTTCTGTATTCATAAATATTGTTTACAAAGCTATGACTATTCTGTCCGAAATTGCAGGTAAGAACGACTTCAAAACAACATTTAAATGACTGCAAATGCTATGGTTTAAACACTATTGTATTAAGGATAGATTACTATAGTATTTCTCTTTATTTTCGCTTCGAATGATTCGTTTGTGGTACTTGTATATAAACGTGTGGTAATACAACAACTATAGTAATATAAACAAATAACCAATACTGCACTTGATTAACTACAACTACATTACACTGCTATACCATGGTAACAGAGTCTAACATACCATAGTATATACAGAATTGTACACTTTGCAATGGCATGGTTAAAAACACTAGTGCATTTACAATAAATTACTATAGTGTTGTCCTTATATCAGCTTAAACTGTTCCCAACTCTACATAATCATAATATTGAGGTAAAGTTGATGTTATACACAGATATTCAGAATTAGGCGTTCAATAAATGAGTTAAGCAAAAGATTAAAAGGCTAATACAGACTAATAATCAAGGCTATATTATTATTCTGCATTGCTGTATTTATAAATATTGTTTACAAAGTTACTTTGAATATTCTGTCCGAAATCGCAGACAAGAATTAATTCAAAACAACATTTAAATGACTGTGAATGCTATGGTTAAAACACTATTGTATTTAGGATAGATTACTATAGTATTTCTCTTTATATTCACTTTGAATGATTCGTTTGTGGCACTTGTATATAAACGTGTGGTAATATAACAACTGTGATAGTAATATAAACAAATAACCAATACTGCACTTGATTAAATACAACTACATTACACTGCTATACCATGGTAACACAGTCTAACATACCATAGTAGTATATACAGAATTGTACACTTTGCAATGGCATGGTTAAAAACACTAGTGCATTTACAATGAATTACTATAGTGTTGTCCTTATATCAGCTTAAACTGTTCCCAACTCTACATAATCATAATATTGA